AGGTTTACGTTTATGGATGAATTTGACAGCGACAATGTTTCAAAATTAGGAAGGGAAGCAGTGAATATTTGATTATATAGACGCTTCGCCCCTGGCGGTGACAACAATGATTGGATAAACGGGCAAGCCGTCAAGCTGATAACTGTGTTCATCGCGTGCGATCATGACGGTTTCAACTGCTTATTTCGTTATTTAAATTTAAGAAACTGTCATTAACTAAGGCTGGGATAGAGTTGGGGTGGGTAGGGGGTGGGGGTGAGGGGCTCAAGCCCGTAAGCTCTTCACTACCCACCGCCACTGCATTGCTGTTTCATGTCAAACCATAAAAACAGTGAATGGTTTCATGAAAAATGAGATGATGAAATACTAAAGATTACAAAGAAGTTCACAACACTGTTGACACTGTTGTCTGTCTGTACACGAGCTCTTGACTTACACACGGTCACAAACCAACTTGTAATAATATTACCTCTTCTTAATCTCATCAACAAATGCACTGATCCGTTCCTTCAAGTCATTTGCTTTATCACCGTCACCTCCCGGCATTATTCCTACGTTTAAATTAACGTCTGTGGTTGATCTTCTAAAATGAAAATTGCTATCTTGATTGCTGAAGGCAATATGGTAGGCCGAGGAGTAAACTGCGACATACGATTCCTAAACATGCAGTTACAGCAGTATAATAAAGTGCTCCAGCTCGTTCCAAAGAGGTCTATAGGCCTACCAGAGAGGGTTCTATACTAACCGGAAGTGAAAGTATTCAGATACATGTAGTTGAAAATATAATTTATTGTTTTAAAAATGTAATAATAAATTAAAGTCAAAACTTCGCCAAATTAGAAACAACGCCGTCACAAATATTAATTACAATTTTCCTAACAAAAATTCCAGGCATGCAATGCAGAAATATAGATTAATCTATATTTGAGAATTATTTTTTTTTCAACGAAGGATTTAGAATCTGTTTGTAAAAAAATTCATCGTACATTATTTGCTTCCACAAAGAGATTATAACAATTTTTGAATTAGATTCTATGGATTCGGCGCTCTTGAACAAAAATTGTATGCGTTATCTGAAACTTGCTGAAACGTATTATCAAGCTCTGAATGCTGACTCCTCCACCCTGTAGCCCCCCTCCCTCC